CCCCAAAACCCCAAAACCCCAAAACCCCATATATAATAAAAAACCAACAGAATTGAGTTTGTTTAAGTGTTATTAAATATATTTACATTTTCAATTATGAATTTCAATCATAACCAGCTCTAGACTTAATCTTTTCATCCTCACCGAGATAGTAGTTTTGAGGCTTTATTTTTAATCTTGTGCCTGACAATCTATCTAGAATCTCAATCTTGGCTCTAGCTTGAAAGCATCCTCTCATTTCATCAATTTTGTTACTGTACTTGATGCATTCAAATCTATCATACCTCTGCTTATTTTTCAGCAAACTAAGATCAAATCCTAGTGTGTCCATTTGCACGTGTTCATTACTGTCAATTAGTCCTTGTATCAAACAGTTTACGAATAGAGTATGAAAATATACCTTCGAGACTTTGAATTTATTAAAAGGCAGTTTGAGTAGTTTATGCATTTTTATTCTTAACCAAACGATATTTAAGTAAAATAACTACAAATTCTTGCTCGGTAGTCCGTGAATTAGTCTTGGAAGTGAGTCCCAAACAAAAGCCCCACTGAAAGATAAACTCAATATTTGTAATTAATCAAATCTAGGTGCAAATAGAGCTAGCTAATTAATAATTGAAGGTTGTTAAACAGGGAGAGTTGTGTTTATATTTGAAAACGTTTCAATTTGTGACAAATTAACCTTATGTAGGAAGTCTCTCAAGAATGAATGATCTATCTGAGAGAGACTTAGATTTTTAATGTTATTCATAAAGCTTATCATTTCAATGTAATCTGATTTATTTCTCTTGCAATTTCTTATTACTAATGTTTAGCACTTAGAGGTTTGTTGAGCTTGTTCAAATTTACGCGAACAATAGAGCATATTCTTTAGGAATATCTTATCCAGTTTGATGTATTTGCAATTAAACAAGAAACCCTTGAATTATTCGTACTAGGATATAGTACCACTTTTAAGTGAGATCTATTTCAAGTCAATATCTGCTAATTTATCCAAATTATCCTTATCTACTTTGTTGACACTAAATATATTGAAAGTTATTTTGTTTCCCTTTTTCAATTTATCAGGGAGTTGGATGAGACCTTTACTTCAGAGTGACAAATAGCTCGGTGCAGAATTCCAAAAGGTATCTTAAATCATAGTTGTAGATCTACCTCGGTACAGTCAATTAAACCGGTCTGCTTTATGTTACGAATGAAGAATTCTGCAGAGTAGCTCTATCGGTCTTAGATATTTTAGATATAACTCGGATTAGTTCAATTGGTTCTAGAAAAGAGAAGATTGTTAGCCTAATGTACTTGGATTTCAAATTCATATTCAATTAGAATAATATTTTTAAGTTTGTTTAAAAGGCCTTTTTTGAATATTTAAGAATTGTAATGTTCTAAAATGCTAAATATTTCATTCATGGGGTTTTGGGGTTTTGGGG